ATAGAGTAAGTAACGAGAAAAACTTTCAAAACGAATTTTCATGGAAAGTTTTGATGAATTCTTCATAAAAATAATTATAACTTTCTTAGAACGTAAATAAAGCAAATGATCTAAATAACGTCTCGGCTGAGTTTAAAACTGTAATTTGTCGGCACATTTACATTACTAATTCTAATTATTTCAAAAATTGTTATAGCGGTTGCTCTGTAATTTTAATATTAAGCAGTTGGCAATGGCATTGTCATACGTATACATCTGGCGGCCTTCAATGGCTTTGATTATGTCGTGCCAAAACAACGTAGCAGGCACGTGGTTTGAAGCCGTAATTATGTTTTTACATACAGAGTGTGTTTGAGTATGGTCAACATAACTTTTTAGAAACGTCCCATGAATGTATAACAATACTTTTCGTTTCAGCCTTCACACTGTCTCTCCGAATTTATTTATTTTTTGTTTTGCTCTCAAGGCATTTTATCCTATTAAGGAAAATTAATTTGGCGAACTGTTTTTGGTTTAATCGCTAAAATTGCGGGTACCTACGCGTCAATTTTGAAGTAAACCCGCTAAATAAAACATAGAATTACATCACAAGTACCAATTTATTATTAATATATTCATAGTTAATGTAACCACTTTCCTTATTTGCTTTACTTTAAACTTACATAGTTACTCAAAGGTTAAAATTACAATTATGGGTACTTACGATATTGCACTTAAAATAAATTGTACAGTAGTGATGACTAGTAGGTATATTATTATAATTAATTATCCAATAAAGTTACACAAGACAACCTAGGTTTTTAAGTTATTGTTGTGATAATGGATGTGGTTTACATTCTGTTCTCATTTCCATTTTAATTAGACACTCAGGTTCCCGTTCCAATGGATTTTTTGTTCCATACGTTCGCTTTCAGATTGCATGAGTATCCTTTCGGATTATCCTTTTGGCGATCAACTTGTTCTCCTCTTCTCCGTGGTTCCAAAGAATGCAACAAATTTAGATTGTATGGAAAGCTAGACAGTCTGATAACAATGGATCCTTTATTACTTAGGTGATTTTCTATTATAAAAAAGACCTTCTGGTTCTGGAGATTTTCTTGGAGTACGCAGGTCTTCCTTGACATTTAACGGAATATCAATTATTTTTTTCCCGCAAGCATCACTTCCGTGACTTATCAGCCAATGAGATAACATATATCCAAAGCGGCGACATCCCTAGCCACAGTTTTAGGGTGTTTGAAGATCTCAATGCCCTAGCGGATTTTTTTTGTAGAAGATGGGAATGGGATAGAAACTTGGCTTGTACCTATACAAAATGTTGTGTGTTTCTGGAGTTGTCTATATCCTTGCACACATACGAGCGCAACTTTCACCAATAATCACTTCAGCATCGATGTTGGAACTGCCATTAAACACCTTCCAATTTGCATTGTTATGTGAAATGAAAAACGGCCACTAAAACCATTCATTTTCACTCCTTAAAACTTTATAAATTCAACTGAGACTCTAACAATGTTTCTGTACGAAATAATTAGAATTTTCCTATGCCACGTTCATGAAGATCTCGATAAGTTTAATTAAATCTTCTGGAACCCTCAATAGCCTTGGCAATTTCCCCACAATTCCAAAGAATTGATATTTATTTATTTAGACACCCTGGGTACTATCAGAAAATGTATCGTGATATCTCTTATGCTGGCCCGTAATCTAGGTTCGATTA